AGGGATTCTGTTCCACAGTTTTTCTGACTTTACTGGTTCAGCTGTTCAGTTAATAATCAGGCCTGGGTTTGCCTGGTGACACTAAAATCTACAAAAAAAGTGTGGAAAATCCAATTTAATTCATGATTTAACACAAGCAGCATAATTTTTTTTCATGCTGTTTGACTGTTATATCTCATGTCTAAAATTAAAGTCAACTTGATAATTTGGAGCAAAGAATGACAAAAAGGTACAAACTGAAAAAATCTGTTTTGGGCAAAGATTTTCTCTTTTTTAAACAGTGTTGCAGAACAAAAAGGTTGCTGCCCAAGGAATCAATTATAGTCTTGTTTTTGATTGGAATCAGTGCAAACACGTGTCTTCACGCATGTGTATTCGGGTTTATGAGTGTGTAATCTCTGTGGCATTGTAGGAACGTGGCGAGTACTCTTGGCCAGCGTTCAGTGAGCAGCTCACAGGATTATGGTGACTGATGCATGTGTGGCTGAGACATAACATGGGAGTACAAAAGGCAAGACAAAGAAGACATGGTGAAAAATCAAGAAAACACCTGTGGAGCAGCACCACCTGACTGAAGGACAATGTGGCGGAAAAATGGTTCTAATTTGCACATTCTGGAGAGGAAGAATATACAAATGAGACAAACAAAAGGCAGAGGGAACAGAAGGGGGACGTTTGTGCAGGATTATTTCTGTGGAGTAGCGTCTGTGTGGTCCAGCTGTGGGCTGTGGATTATACAGAAATGCATGAGCATGTCTGTTAGTCTCATTCAGCCTTTTCTGTGTGCTCTCCTGTAAGAGATTTCAAACCTGTAATACAGGGGGGAAAGCAAAATAACCAACTCTGATAGAACTCATCACTAATAAGTTCAAAGAGCCCAAAAACACACCGATCTGCTTAAAAAATCAACCTCAGAAAACCCATCAGCAACATTCAGGCTGAGTCTTGGCAGCAATCTTGCTGTGCCTTCCTGTACAGCTCTAATCCACTGCTGTCCTTCAACATGACAATCACATGGTACGCATTCACACTAATATCACATACTATGCACATACGTACACATGATGGTAAGTCACTGCCTTGCTCAGACAGAGAGGCATTATCATTAGAGGGAGAAAAAAAAGCAATCACAGCAGATGTCACAGCAGCTCGGCACATCCACACAAACAGATCATGGTATAGTATGCAGCCACGGATCAAATTTCAACTGAATGTGTTGGCCAAGCTTACAGTGATGGCACCTGTTATCCTGATTATGAGTTGGTCCATCCTTTCAGACAATACCTTACTCAGCAGCTGATCATTATTATTTAAAAGCTTAAATACCGTAATTAAGATTTAAACAGTTTGTTAATAACCTTTAGTTTCTCAAAGTAAGAGACACAATTGTTTGCAAGATTTTAATCTATCAACTGAAAAAGTATGTATTATGTCCATGTCTGGATTTAAGTTATTGAAGAAAAAAAAGTTGTAAAAAAAACAAAACAAAATTTGCCACATTGTGTTCTTGCAGTTTATACAGATGCTGTGGTTTTGCTCCGTTTGTGTGGAGCAAGATTAAGCAATAGAATGAGTGATAATTTTTGCAGCCCACACCTGAAGTATAAATTATGCTCATGCGTTTTCATTTGTTTTTTTGTATAATTTTGTTGTAAACTGCCATTTAAATAAGATCAAATCTACCTGGTAAATGTATGGACCACATTCCCCATATGTGTCTAGTGGCATCATAAATGGAAGCAATTCAGAGCTCTTTTGAATAAATCTTGTAAAATTTTTCTTGTTGATTTTTTCTCCCTCTTAATTAACTCCCTTTTAATTAGAATTATTAATAATCCTGTATTCTCTTCTCCCAATATATCATGCTGCATGTCTTGCTGTTGTAATGTCTAATTAATTAATTAGGAGGATGCATTTGTATTTCAGATACTTTATATATAAATGGTAAAGGTATGTACTTATATAGCGCCTTTTTTCAAGTCAGGAGACTTGACCAAAGCACTTTACACTACATTCATTCACCCACACACTCACACACTGATGGTGGCAAGCTACATTTTAGCCACAGCTGCCCTTGGGCTCACTGACAGAAGCGGGGCTGCAGTACAGTGGCGCCACCGGGCCCTCTGACCACCATCAGTAGATAATGCAGGTGAAGTGTCTTGCCCAAGGACACAACGACAATGAAAGTCGGAGCCCGACTCAGAGGGAACGGGTGTGTTGGTTATTAATCAAAGTGATTCAAAGTGAGAAACAACTATAATACAGAATAAAGGAAGGACCGATTGAGACCAAACACAAAAAAAACACCAGTAAGTAAAATAAAACCATATTGACATAAGGACGCATAGAGAAATGTCTATAATATCAAATATTTGCCTCCGATTTCCAAGGTTAAATTACTATCTGCATTTTTTAAAAATCTAAATCTCAGTTTTATGCTCCAATCAGGCATAACTCTAAGACAGGTAAGTTCACTCTGACTGGTCTATAGCTTTACAAACCTATCAGACTTCGATACTCGTTACTTTCCAGCTTCTTTCTATCAGAACCAGCCTTATCTTTAGCAATATGAGCTGCAGTAGCTCATCTGATAGAATAATATTAATAATAATTGGACTTTATTGATCCCACACTGGAGAAATTTACCTCTGCATTTAACTCATCTTATTGAGGAGGAGTGGGCTGCCATTGTGCTGTGCCCGGGGAGCAGTGTGGGGTTAAGGGTCTTGCTCAGGAACCCAGAGTGCAGACCGTGGGGATCGAATGTGGTACTTTCAACCTTCTCACAGCACAAAGCGCACTGCTCTAAACACTAGACCAACACTCCCCTTATCTCTGCATTGAACCCATCCCCTTGGGGAGCAGTGGGCTGCCATTGTGAGCCACAGTAACCATCCTTCATCTGCTGCATCAATAGACCTTGGCTGCCTTTGACCCTGTCGTTTCTTCCTTTGACCAATCTTCTAGTTAGTGACCTCTGCAAACCGAAAATACCCAACAAGAGTTTGGAAAAATACTCCAATCCTAATCTAGCCATTAGAATTTGGCTCTTTTGCAAGTTAGTAAAATCCAGGTCTATTTTCTTGCTTCTAGCATTAAGTACTGCGTTATAACAGACCATAACACTGATAGGTGTTGTGATGAAAAGATAATCTTTATTCACTTCACCTGTCAGTGGTCATAATATTATGATTGATCTGTGTTTATTCTAATTCACTGCTTTTATAAAACAGATATCTGTCAGGAAAAAACTTCATTTTAGAAAAATTTACTTATATTTACAAGGACCATATATAAATTTAGCTGTGACTACTTTTTCTTTGCAGTACTTTTATTTTCACTGAAGTAAAGTACACAGACTGAAGGCTTATTTTGAAATATAGTTATTACACTATATTGCCAAAAGTATTTGCTCACCTGCCTTGACTCACATATGAGCTTAAGTGACATCCCGTTCCTAATCCATAGGGTTCAATATGACGTCGGTCCACCCTTTGCAGCTAGAACAGCTTCAACTCTTCTGGGAAGGCTGTCCACAAGGTTTAGGAGTGTGTTTATGGGAATTTTTGACCATTCTTCCAGAAGCGCATTTGTGAGGTCGCACACTGATGTTGGACGAGAAGGCCTGGCTCTCAGTCTCCGCTCTAATTCATCCCAAAGGTGTTCTATCGGGTTGAGGTCAGGACTCTGTGCAGGCCAGTCAAGTTCATCCACACCAGACTCTGTCATCCATGTCTTTATGGACCTTGCTTTGTGCACTGGTGCACAGTCATGTTGGAAGAGGAAGGGGCCAGCTCCAAACTGTTCCCACAAAGTTGGGAGCATGGAATTGTCCAAAATGTCTTGGTATGCTGAAGCATTCAGAGTTCCTTTCACTGGAACTAAGGGGCCAAGCCCAGCTCCTGAAAAACAACCTCACACCATAATCCCCCCTCCACCAAACTTTACACTTGGCACAATGCAGTCAGACAAGTACCGTTCTCCTGGCAACCGCCAAACCCAGACCCGTCCATCAGATTGCCAGATGGAGAAGCGCGATTCGTCACTCCAGAGAACGCGTCTCCACTGCTCTAGAGTCCAGTGGCGGCGTGCTTTACACCACCGCATCCGACGCTTTGCATTGCACTTGGTGATGTATGGCTTGGATGCAGCTGCTCGACCATGGAAACCCATTCCATGAAGCTCTCTGCGCACTGTTCTTGAGCTAATCTGAAGGCCACATGAAGTTTGGAGGTCTGTAGTGATTGACTCTGCAGAAAGTTGGCGACCTCTTCGCACTATGCGCGTCAGCATCCGCTGACCCCGCTCCGTCAGTTTACGTGGCCTACCACTTCGTGGCTGAGTTGCTGTCGTTCCCAAACACTTCCATTTTCTTATAATACAGCTGACAGTTGACTGTGGAATATTTAGGAGCGAGGAAATTTCACGACTGGATTTGTTGCACAGGTGGCATCCTATCACAGTTCCACGCTGGAATTCACTGAGCTCCTGAGAGCGACCCATTCTTTCACAAATGTTTGTAAAAACAGTCTGCATGCCTAGGTGCTTGAATTTATACACCTGTGGCCATGGAAGTGATTGGAACACCTGATTCCAATAATTTGGATGGGTGAGCAAATACTTTTGGCAATATAGTGTATGTGTGACATACTTTTACTTAGTGTAGTGCCCATCTTCCATATTAGGAGACAACCCTTCACGCATCACCACTATGTTATCTTTACTGGAATAAAAAAGTACTTTGATCTTAAAGTAATCAAATTAGTGGGTAGGCCTTAAAATGTATTTCAAATTAGTGATATATTGAAAAAAAATGTAATGTGTGGGAAACAGAAAATACATATAAGCTAATTACCCAAAAGTTTTGAAGCACTTATTTTTAGTTAAACCATTCTTTAACTAAATGGAAGAATTATAGAGTTTTGGGTCTGTGAGGCTGAGGAAACACAGTTTCCAGAAATTATATTTGGAGGTTATTTAAACAAATCAAATCTTACCAGATAAAACACAGGTAGTCATGAAGAATATCCACAGTCCAGCCTGTTCCATGTCCTAACCAACCGTTTCCAGCTTCAACTTGTGTTTAAATTCCAAGATAAAATTTCTTAACCTCCTTTTGGCTCTTGAAATAAAAAAAGCAACAAAGACAGAGTCAGCTTCAGCACCAGAGTGGCACACAGGGAGCACACCCTCCAAATTAAACTCTAAATTTCCACAGCTCCTCAGTGGGATCTATGTCACTTTTTCTTTCTGGCTCTCAGTGTGGAATGGGAGCTACAGTAGTCTGAAGGTTCAGTGGGGATAAAGCAGCTTAAACGCGTGGGCAGATTATTTCCGTGATAGACTACCCCCAGCCCAGACCAACACACAGCCTAGCTCTCAGTCACTGTGGGAGGGGAGAGCTGGGGAAAACCACCAGGCAGCAGGCAGGGTGCTTGTATGGAGAAATTAAAGAGCTGAGGATGGAATCATCAGGGACAGAGCAACAGGTAGCATGGCTCTGTGTCAGCCCCTGGTGATCCTGCACTGAATTTTTAGTTTAATTAATAAAAAACTGTAATTATAATGCCAAAAATCATCCCTTAATATATAGTTTGTGTTAAACTTAAAAAAAAAAAACATTTATTCATCATAATGTTATGATGAAAATAAATTTACAGCTTTAAAGAAATTGATAGGTTTTTAAAAGTTTAAAGACAACTTGCACTGTTATTCTGGGTAATTTTAAAGAAGATAATTAGAGGTAAGGAGTTATACACTACCCTCTGGTGGATGGGGGAGGGGCACACATGTACCATGAAGGTTCATAGGACCATTAACTTTGTCTGTCCAGTAATTTATTTTCTACTCCCCCTTAATTCTTCCACACTTATAAAGGGTTATATCATGTCTCCAAGATGGACACAGGGAGCCAGTCCATCTACAGGGACCAAAAGCTTGGACTTATTGCTGAAGATAGCACAATACCGCAGTATGAAGGTTCTGTATTTGAATCCCAGCCTGGGGTCTGTCTGCATGGAGTTTGCATGCTTTCCCAGTGCATGCGTGGGTTCTTCCTGGGTACTCCGGGTTTCTCCCACAGTCCAAAAACATAACTGTTAGGTTAATTGGTTTTTCTAAATTGTTCTTAGGTGTGTGTGTGCATGGTTGTGTGTTTTTGTGTGTCTCTGTGTTGCCCTTTGACAGACTGGCAACCTATCAAGAGTGTACCCCGCCTCTCGACCATAGACTGCTGGACCCTAATGGACCAAGGAGCAGAAGATGGATGGATGGATTGTTTAAATGGTTGAAATAGTTTTCATTTTGTTAGTTTTTTTGACACTGACCTAATCAAGGCAACCTTGAGAGAACCAGAGCATACATCTGCACAACTATGCAAGCTTCACCCAGAAAGGTGTTTATTGAGAATGTGGCTGAGATTCAAACCCAGGACCATCTTGCTTGAAAAGTGTTAACAACTGTGCTACCGTGCAGGTTTGCAAAGAGTAGAAGATAATGGCTCACACAGTTTTTCCACTGCTTGCAAGATGAACGTTTTAGAACTGATGATTCAGCATTTGCTGATTAAAGATAAAACTGTATCTAAAAGTACCACCAGGAACCCGGTTTTACAAAAATAATTCCATGGGATTTTGGATAACGGATTGGATCAAATCCTGAAAATGTATATTCTCAAAAGAAAAAAATGGCTTACGGGTTGATTTAGATCAAGTAATCTAAAAGTTACTGATCTTGATCAAACGTTGAGTTTGGGTTTTTCAGAGTTTTGCTGTAGGATTTTGATCACCTTGATCCAAAAGAGATGAGTTAAACTGAACCCAAAAGAAGGATGGATTCAGTTTGGATTTTAGGGCCAACATGCAAAAAAAACTTTGTATTTAATCAAAACACTTTTAGTTGGATTATCCAGTCCAGTCCATTAAACCCTATTAATCCGTAAGGTTTTATTTTCATTTGTTCAAAGATCACAGAAATGGGATAAGGAAGGCTAGTTAACCTGTCTAGCTTTAAATATGCAGAAAAGTTGTATAATCCTGACAACTACTGGTTGATGTGTAACACAGCAGTTATCCTGTGGCAGATCATCTTTATTTGGTGATCTCCCAAATTTGGTTTCTGCATCAGATTGATCGTAATTGGTTTAAAGTGGAAGAAAAGAAGGCAGGATGGAGGGGTCGATTTCAAACACTTCACTCAAAGGGGAATCTCTCCACAGCAGCTGTTAAACCTGAACTGAAGGCCTTTCTGTAGAAACTAGTTGACAGTTGCCTTGTCTGACTCAGACGGTTGGATAGTGTCCCAATACTGGAGCGCTTTGAAGGCAACATGGTCAGAAATAATAACAACAAATACCTATTTTAAAAGAAGAATGTCAGCATGTCTAAAGTGTGGAGGAAAACAAGACAAATGTTTATAAAAGGATGTCTGGGGGGGCTCTATTAAAAATAATAAATATGAAGAAAAGGTAATAAATCATTCATATAATAATGATTTCTAAAAGAAATAAATACTTAGACTTAGATCAAAAGTGTTGTAATATAACTTTGGATGTTTGGTAGAAAACATGCAATATAATTAGCACTTAGAAACATATTTAAATTGTTTTTATAAGGAAAATAAAAATGAGCACATTTTATTCTAAGATGTCAAATTCTTGGAATTTACGTTTTTTTATCTTGAACTTTTTTTAATTTTACCTGTGTATCCCATTTTAGTGAACTCCAAAGGTTACTTCCCCCTCAAAAGACATGTTTTTGCTTTCTTTACTGTTCAGTTTAATTTTATCAAACTGTTGCCATGTGTTCTGTTTTCATACACTGCAGTCTTGTGTTCATCTACAGGCTTCATTTAATCTATTCTTGTTGCCACTGACACACTTGCATTTCACTTACTTTGGACAATAAAGCCTATTTTAAACTTATCAACAGCATAACATATGAAAGATGTCTTTTGGATGTCATTTGTACAACCTTGATCAATCGTTCCCTTCATTGCGATTATGAGGATTTTTTGCTCAGTCTTTACTCTGCTGTTCAGGATTATGTGATGCATATATGAATCTAAATTAAATCAAGTTCTTCACTCAACTGGATCAGACTTGATCAGTATTTTCCCCCCCAAAGATTCTGTATTTGGATTTGCTGCTTTTTTGTTTTTTAAGTGACTGAAGCCTTTAGGCCAGCATTGTCCAAACCTTTTGATCTGCAGCCAAAAGTCAGTTGTTAGTATTGCGAATGAATATTCACCAGCTCTAAAATTACACATTCTATACTGTAATGTTAAAAACAAAAATCCAAAATTAACTTTACGCCTGAAAAAGAGTCTCAGATATTTCCCTTGGTTTAAGAAAGGGGTATTGTTTCCTAACTTTTTTTTAGGAATTCTTTCTATACTATCGATCCAGAAAATGCATTTTCTCCTGCAGACACACAAATATAACTTTCTTTAAAAAAAAAAAAATTAGGAAAAGGTGGATTTTAGGCTGAGTTGCTGAGATGTTGAATTGAAAAAACTAAACAAAAAAACACAAATAAATAAACAAAAATGTAGCTAATAAAAGCAAAACTCCTTGTATGTACTAATCGTTTGGTCTTTTCTTTCTCGTTTAGAAAAGCATCGCTCAATTCATTTTGGTTATTGCCAAATTACGCTCCACTGAAAGAGGTTTGCTTCAAGTCACCTTTCTCTACACAATGGACAGTGACTTATAGGTAAAAACCATTTCGAAAGTCAAAAAAATTTACATATATGGAACATGTCTGATGATTTGAAATAGGACCAAATTTCAAAAAAGCAACACACCTAATTCTATCCAACTTTAAAAATAGATGAGAAACATTTTTATCTGTCTGGTTACAGATTCAGGATGTGGGATCTCAACAGTTCTTCACAGGTAATTTCACATATGTTACCCTTTTCCACAAAAAGAAAAACACATGGAAAAACCACTGAACCTCCATATGGAGTGGCCAGCCTACAAAAAGTACTCAGAAGGACGGATCTTCAGAAGGTTTGAGTGTCTTAAACAGCTGCTAACATGCTTGTATGCACAGAGCAGACCTTCAATTTGATGCTAAGTGATTTGTGGTTGCAATTTAGCATACACCGTAAGCAAACCTTTTTTTTTTATGTGTGGCCCAATCAGTATGCAGATCATATTGAAGTGCATATTTGTTTGCAACTAGGATTTTCTTTTCTCCTTCGAGTTAGTAAAGCATGAAATACCATATATATTTTTTTATTTTTTACTTTTGTTCATAGCACTTTGAGATAGGTCACTATAAATACTATTTTTTTACTTTTATAATTCTCATTATTTCCTCCACTACCATAGCTTCAAATCTCATCTCTCTTTTACGACCACACCGAAGCTGTCATCAAAACATGAAATCTGCTCATTTTGGTGAGACGTGCTCACCAAAATGAGCAGTCTTTGTGGATCACCTACAACATGCCCACTATTTGCACGTACTAAAAAAAATGCATGTACAATCTTTGAAGATCCCAGAGTGCAACAGTGACTTATCTAGAGAAAGAGGAGTTCCAAGGTCAAACACAACTACAGACAGGAAAAAAAGACCATTCCAGATTTTCATAAAAAGTATGTTAATAATAAAAAAAAAATATTCTGTAGATTCATAACAAAAACCTGGAAGTTTTGGTAAGGTGTGTGTCCCATTGCACCATTGGGACTTCAGTATTTTAGAAAAAGAAGATAATTCTTACAGTAAATCGTGGTGGTGGTGGTGGTGTTATGGTCTGGACTATTTAAGAACCCAGTGGGCTTAATTGGAGGAAGTTTAAAACTGTTCGCTAATAGAAAAGGATCTTTCACCTTTAATTTGGTTAAAGATGCTAAATTTAAAGAAAAATCAAGGTTTGTAGACAGCTTTGTCAGAGTTCTGACTTAATTATGTATTTTTTTTAATTATGGGATTCTGTAGCATGACCTTTGAGAGTCTACTAATCCTAAAAAAAAAATAAAGTTTGACTGATTTAAAACAGTTCTGCCATGAATTTCAGCCCTGAAAAGAAAAAAGACTTATTGGCATTTATTTGTCTTAGATAGCTGCTTATCTTGATATTGATATCATTATTAACCAAACTGTCAGTCCCAGCTGATGCATTTCATTCTTTTGATTGCGTGTACAAAAAAACTATGTAATA